ACCCACTTGCCTCACTTTCTTGGTACTCCGAGAAACTCGATAACATTGCGAAACATTCTCAGCTTCCTGGGAAGCATTCAGTGCACGCTGTCATTATACAGGCGCTTACTTCAACTTAAACACTAACGCTCAGACAGGATTGTCGTCTGTCTTTAGTTAGTTTTAGTAAGAGTTTTATGGCACTTGCAACACAAAAAGGTCATACAAGTGCCGAAGATTAAAGGAATTACAAGAGAGTAACAAACACAAAAAAGGAGGAGAGATGAGGACGATAGAATAGATGTTTGGTAGGAAAGAAGGATCAAACCACACCAGAGCACTCTCCAACCACCCACCCTCTGTCTTTAGCTGGGCACCCATCCTCACCTCGGACGAGGGAGAAAAATCTGTGTAAAATAAAGTGCCTTTCCAAAGGGACACAACATCAGGCCTAGACCGAGATCCAAACCCACAACTTTACAGCTGCACATCCTGCAGCTCAACCAGTAGACTAAGTCCCACCATCATGCACAACACAATACATAATACTTAAATTTTTTGGGAGGGTTTTATGGCGCTTGCAACTGCATAAGGTCATATGAGCGCCCTGGACACATTTAACACTTTCAGTTGGAAGGAAATTTGGAATTTTGCCCGGAGTGGAAGCCGAAGCCTACTCTTATTGATTTTGGACCAACAAGGGATCTTTAACACGCGCAACTTGCACATGGGACCTCCAAGACTTTTCGCCCTTGTCCAAGAAGGCTAGGTGTAGATCTTTCCTACCAGAAGATCAGGGGTATATAATACTAATACTATCAAAACATTTGCAGAATTGTACGAATGTACACTGCAAAAAAAAAAAGAAAGAAAGAAAATGGCGGCTGTGTCAGCTCCAGGGGATCACAGAATGAAGGACAGTCGTACAATGACCTAGTTATGGTCTGAACCAAACAACTGGAATATTTTCTTTGGCAAAACAATTAACAATGATAATAAATAAAAACCACACAAAACATATCATGAACATAAAAATATCAATCCCATACGAATGAGAACAGCAACGCATGAATCAGTATTTATATATATCTAATAATTAATAATGACAAAATTCAAACACGATTCGTCACCACGGACTCCTAAATGCATGCAGTACCCTCTGGAATAAGGACATTTCCTCCCCCCCCCCCCCCCCCACCAACAGCCAAAGTGAAGGTCGCTGCCAAGTGCACACAAGTCAGAGGTCAAGCTCCGCGTGCTGTGACTTCACCGTCTCTCTTGATTAATTGAAAACCAGACAGTGCAATCAGCAGAACAGAACAAAGACACGTATATATATATATATACATTGGCCTGTTCATTTTCCCCAAGTTGATGTGAGATCTTTCATAACTGTAAGAATTACAAATTATCGCACTGGCCAGCTCTTCAGCAAGATGCACGAAGCCCACAATTTGTAACAAATTTTTAATTGCAGTTTCTTAATTTGCCGTCTCGATTGCATGAGCTTGAGGAATATTTTGTCGAAATTCAAATTCTCAATATCGAAAAAAAAAAAAATGAACAAGAAATAATGTATGATGTATGAATTGGTAATAATATTCTGTCAAAATTCAAGTCCTAAACATTGAGAAAAAAAGCAAGAGAAGATAATAATGTCTGTGTGTTTTTTTTGGAATATTTTGTCATAATTCAAATTCTAAATATTGAAAAAAATAAGCAAGAAATGACAAATATTGTAGGTACAATTGTGAAAAGAATGACAATTTTTTTTTTCTCTCTCCTGAATAATTGCACAATGGACTTAGAACAGTTGAACTACTCGTCAATGGTATGTATGTCTCTATGTAAGTAAGTATGTTGTACAGATGTGTGTGTGAGCCTGTGTGATAGCATGTATGTGGCTGTGCGTGTATATCTGACTGCGTGTGTGACTGTGTGTACATGTAAGCGACTGTCAGTGTACATGTAAGCAACTGTCAGTGTACATGTAAGCGACTGTCAGTGTACATGTAAGCGACTGTCAGTGTACATGTAAGCGACTGTCAGTGTACATGTAAGTGACTGTCAGTGTACATGTATTATATGTGAGGCAGCGTGGTGGAATCGGGCTCTCGTCAATTTTTGGGCTTGTAGAGTTATTGGTATCATCTTAAAGCTTTATTTGGATGAAAAAAAAAATCCATTTATCTATAATATAAGTCGAGATATTTGCGAATGAAGGAGATGGGGGTCATCTGTTTTCGGAGGTAAGATTAGTGAGAAAATGGCCACCAAAGATTAGTTATTTCCTTATCTCAAGAGTCCGTGGTAACTTAAAATTTAGACTTTGTGTGCCTTTAATCGACGTTTTTCAGAAAAATCCGCACAGAAATGAGTTCTTTAAGGGGCATGAAAGGTGTTGAGCCAAAAAACAACAATTCTATAAAAATGCACAAACCTGTGGAAAAATGCAAGTTTCTTCACTTTGATCATTTCGACGAGAGCCTGATTCCACCACGCTGCCTCACATATGTGTGAGTTTACGTGCTGATGCATAGCCTGTCCTCCAGCTCACTGACACAGAGAGAACGTTTTCAATGCCAGCCAGACTCAAAACAAAACCATGGGGGGACAAGCCGACGTCTCGGGTAATTTATAAGCAAAAGAAAACACACTCTGGTTAAGAACAGATCGAATCCATCCACCATCTGCAGCTTATATCATTCCGTGAAAAATGTTAACGCGAGTTTTGAAAGTTTACAACTGAACACAAATAGAGGGCAGTTATCTGGAAAGAAGTATCCCAGGAATTCACCTTCTACATAAAACAAAACAATTCACTACAATCCGTGAAAAGGTCCGATAAAGATCTCTTAAGGGGCAAACAGGACCGTGCTTAAGTACTCGATGTAACATCTCCGATACTGAAATCTCCCATCATATCACGCTCGAAGCCAAAATAAGTTCTCGTTGATTCCTATCCTATCTTCCATTTTCTCTGAAACATATCTGTGTGTCGTAACAAGCATGAACCCTTTCAGAACCATGCACCCGATATCTCGCTACCTTTCATTAACACTCTATAACTACACGCGATAAATCTTGACCAAAAAAAAAAGAGTTAACCCTTCCAGCCCCAGCCATTTTTATGCACTCGATCCCTCACCCCAGTCCCAGCCAATACAGCAGTATTTCAGAAAAAGAGGCAGGCATTCTAAAAAGTGATGTAGTGTCTTTGTAATGAGGTTTAGATAATAACACATAAAGTTTAAAAGTAGGTGAACAAATATTTGGAAAATTAAAAGTTTAATCAAGTTGGCTAATTTCGAAAAATGTACAAACTCGGTACCCCCCCCACCCCTCAAAGACGTAGAAAATACTCTCTTGGGGCGGAAGAAAGTACAAGCGCTGCTGAAAATACACTCGCATTGGGCTGGAAGGGTTAGGATGACGGTGATTTGTGAATCTGGAGGCGGCGCCTCCGACGAGACAAGTTGTCATGACCTCACAAACAAAGTAATTGATATATCATGTATGCCAACACCCGAGTAAATGCAAAATTTGGGGAATGTGGG